CACGATAAGAGTGAAAAGCAAGACAGAGCCCAGATTAAGGCTGATTTCGGTGGGGGCAAAATGCCCCTCTGACGCACAAAAAAAGAAAAGAAAAGAAAGTCCCAGACTTTGAAACCACCAGTATCTCTCCCGGGCAAAATTTTGCACAAGAGTTGACCACCACCGCATTCTTAGGGCACCTGGCCTCCCTCGGCCTGCAGGAACTTTGGCTGGTGATGCCGGCCATAAGAAAAAGAAAAGAGTGCCTCGTCAGTTCATTTGGACTCGGCATGCAGCAGAAATCCGCTATGGGAAAAAGAGGCTCGGAGGTACTGGTGGTTTAACGTGCCAAGGTTGACCTGGGCGAGTCGCCCGGCCTATCTCTGAACATCTTCTTTCTTCAGCTAACGTTTCACATTTTCATGGTTGTGCCCTTTATGGTTCTCTTGCTCTCCTCATGACACCGCACAAAACTTGCAGTCTCGAGTTCTGCTATGATATGAAAAATAAACATGTGCAAATACAAACCCAGTCAACCACCCACCTGCACACAGGCACACATGAATGGCTCTTTTTTAGAATCCTTGTCTTGCAACGTTTTCGTGATCTCCTTTTTCGCTTACCGACTCTTTACCCTTGAAAGCTTCTTCTCTTCACCCGATAGTCATCATTCTTGGCTCAATTTTGTGACCTTGCGTGTTTGGCTCTGTGGTATGTCTAATCCTCTTTGCAGCATGTTGCCCAAATCCACACCGGAGTCATTTGGCCAAAAGCTTGCTCAGTCTTTTGACAAGCACAAACGATTTACAAAGCACAAGTTCAAGAAGACACTGTTCAAAATTGACCACTTTGCAGGAGAGGTCAGTTATAATGCAATTGAGTGAGAGAGTGTGGAATCGGAAAGAATGTGCGGGGCTGGGGTTGAGTGGAAGGGTGGGGGAACAGTTTTGAGATAGTGGGTAGGAAACATGTGCTCGTACCTTTGGTTGGGAGGGGGTGGGGTGGGGTGGGGTTTTGGAGATGGAGCAGGATATGAGCTCACTTCTGTTTGTGTATCTGTAGTCCTATCTTTGGCCGTGCAATGGTCCATGTTGGTTTTTTGCAAGCTCAAGTGACATGAAGATTGACTGATGGTATCTACTTTTATTAAGTTTTATAGTATTTTACTATTTTCCTTAAGAGCATTTTTACTTTCAGATCGAAAACTAATTGGAAAAGCCATTCTGGAAGTATCTCTTCAATTCTATTGCCATTAGTATCGTTGTATGCATTTGCATGTGTGTGTGGAGAGGGGTGGGCTGTCGGTGTGTGTGTGTGTGTGTGTGTGTGTGTGTGTGTGTGTGTGTGTGTGTGTGTGTGTGTGTGTGTGTGAGAGAGNNNNAGAGAGAGAGAGAGAGAGAGAGAGAGAGAGAGAGAGAGAGAGAGAGAGAGAGAGAGAGAGAGAGAGAGAGTATTGACTTAATCTTTATCTTATCAATTAATGATCCATGACAGGTGGAGTACTCGACGGACACATTTATTGAAAAGAACAAGGATTTCGTGATTGCGGAGCATCAGCAACTGCTGACAGCGTCCACAGATCCATTTGTGAGACAGGTGTATCCGCCACCAGAGGAGCCAAAGCAGGGCGGAAAGGGTGGAGGGAAGTCATCCTTCTCCTCTATTGGAACTCGTTTCAAGGCAAGTTAGCATGATCATATTACCACATGTCATCATTGCTCCCCCTGCTGTCTGTGAACCTTGGTTAGTCATTCTTTGGCCGCCTTCCTATCTGAAGAACATCAAGCTTTGTGTGTCATCCTGTTCTTGACACCTATTTCTTCTCGTGCATTGATCTGCCTCAACACGTGGATCTCGTGTCTCAATGCAATCCAGTGACCCTGGTATGTTAGCTTGCTGCATTTCCAAAGGAATTTGCTTGTCAAGGCATTCCTCTGTGATTGTTGTGACTCGAGAGGTGAAGCCAAAACAGTACAGTTTGACTGGCCAGTAGGTGTAGTGGAGGTTCAATGTGCATATGCGGATGATAAGTCGTTTGCCAATCCCAAAATCACCTGGGGACGCATCATGCAGTTAGTCAATGAGTGGCTTGATCCCATCATTACACGGTGACTACGATTATACTCACCCCTGGGCTTTCAGCGAGTGATGGCCGTCAATTGGATGACGCACATTCATTGTCACCCCATTAGGCAGTGTCCCTCTGTCATGGTCACCCTTCAATTTCCATCCAATGTCATCCACCCAATAAAATTTCTGCTTCTGATCACTTCACGACTACTCAGTCAGTCAGTCTATCATTCGATCTGTAAGTCAGTCAGTTGGTCAGTTAGTCCGTGAGTCGGTTGGTCAGTCGGTACCTCAATTAGTCATCCAGTTGGTCAGCCCTGGAGTGTGTTAGATTTTGCGGGTCACTGGTCAGTCAGCCGGTTGGTTGGTCAGTAAGTACCTCCATTAGTCAGCCAGTTGGTCATTCATGGAGTTACTTAGATTTTGCTGGTCACTGGTCAGTGAGTGAAGCAGTCAATTAGCTGGGCATTCTGGAAGAGGGAGGAGGGCAGAGCCAAGAGCTGTTGACGAGTCCAGAATGTCTGGCATGAATGAATGCAGCAAACAGTACAGCTAGCTTCTCGTCAACTATGAAATGTATGATGTGAGATGGCCTAATCATATCGTTTTTGAAATGGTAACGGCAGCATGGAAGGAAGGTTGCCTTGCCTTGCAGTAGGAAGGCTATGTTCCCAAGACAGACAAACCTCTCCCATTGACTATGATGCATATACCACTCTTCTCACTTTCACTGCAAAAGGAGGGAAACGTGTTCACTTTTGTGGTTTCTATCCTTGTATTCACCTTTGATATTAAGTGGTGCTTGATCACCAAGAGCAAGGGTGATGCACTTGGGTAAATTGTAAATGCCTCATCTGATTTATGAAGACCCAGCTGGATGGAGGGGCGGATGGATGGATGAATGCTTTTTGCGTCCCTCATGTGATCATCTCACGGAGATTGAACATGAATCTGAATTGGTTGTTCCTCTTTGTGCATTTGACAGCTCATAAGCAATTGCTAAATCGTCATTTGCACTTCTCATATGTTTTAGGCCCTCACGTACAATGTGTTTGTTTGTGGCCTTGGATGTTATGTGTTTTGTTTGACCACTTTGCCTTTTGCCAGCAACAACTGCAATCTCTGATGGACACCCTTAACCAGACAGAGCCGCATTATGTCCGTTGCGTGAAGCCCAACCAGAAACTGAAGCCACTCATGTTCGAGAAGCGGATTGTCCTCCAGCAGCTTCGGTGCAGTGTGAGTTGCCAAGTCCTCTATTCCCCCATTCACCTCACTGGGCCATCCATGAATAATGCCGCCTTTTCCTTCTCTCTATTGAACATGCTGCTTGAAAAGATTAGGTAATCCAAAGCAGAATACTTTAGTGCAATTTCAATGAGAGCATCATCTGGTGTTCCCATGGATTAAAGAGTCCAAGGCCGATTTTCCATGCCCATACTTTGGTGGAGTCTCATCCTTAGTGTTTTGTTATGTCTATTTTGCTTCCCAGGATGCAGTAACGTTTTCATGTAACCTGACCACAGCAGTTCCCTCGCCATCAATATTTAGGAAAATGTTCTTATGAGAGCTATGAGAAAGTCCTGACTCCTTGAGGTCCTGATTTCATCACTTAGTCTTTGCTTGCAAGGACGATGGACTCTTTGAGTAATGTCGCCGTGTAACCTGACCACAGAACGTCCCTGGTCATCAATATTTAGGGAAAGGTTCTTACGAGAGCTATGAGAAAGTCTGCCAGCTACGTCTGACCCCTTGAGGTCCTGATTTCATCACTTAATCCTTGCTTACGAGGGAAACTGACTTGAGGGAATTTATTATCTGCAGGGTGTGTTGGAAGCTGTGCGTATCAGTTGTGCTGGTTTCCCAACAAGGCGTACATTCTTCGAGTTTGCAGACAGATTCAAGATTTTGTTTCCCGATGCAGTTGCCAACTGGTACGGAAACTTTCTCTCCCTCCCTTTGTGAATTCTCCAGTGGTTGGGGTTTTGCCTTTCATTGTTCCTTCTTCTTCTCCGTATCCATCGTTGAAGTCATGCTTGTATTCTCTCTCTCTCTCTCTCTCTCTCTCTCTCTCTCTCTCTCTCTCTCTCTCTCTCTCTCTCTCTCTCTCTCTCTCTCTCTCTCTCTCTC